GTGCTGGAGGCCAGGCGCTCCTGAATCTGCCTCACGGCTCTGCACTCCCACTGGGCTGCCTCCATCCTTCTGCCAACCCCGTCTATGACTACAGAGATGCCCAGGGCACTCACCTGGCTTCCGGAATGCCGTGGGTCACTCACCGTGCTCTGGGACTCCTCTTCTGGTCAGTCGCTGTGAGGCACGTAGGCTTCCTCCTGGTCCTCTCTGCAGCCGAGTCCAGAATGATCCTGCCCACCAGCTGCCTGCTTTATATAAACTCTTACTGCCCCACCTCTTCCCACAGTTCCTCCTGTAAGCCCCTCCCTGTCTCATGCCTGTCACACCCTTACATCCTAGCAGGGGGTCTCCCAAGATGCACCTTGCCTGAGCTTCCACAAGTCCCCTCCCCCCTCCCTACAACTCCCAAGGCCAAGTGTCTGCTCTGCCCTTCTTGTCTGCAACTACTGTATCAAGAGATCCCCCACTACTCCTCTAACCTGGGGGACCAGGGGATGGTGCAACTGGCAACTTCCACTAACACTCCCTTTGTCTCCATCTTGTTTACAGGATCCTCTCTATCTGGTCCTGTTTTTTTCCACCTTTAAAGATAACCCATAACCCTAGACATACTTTTTTAGTTGCTTCACAAACTCCAGGGCTATTGTCGCTGATTTGAGCTCAGTGTCCTTCATCACCTGATGTGCGTTGGCACTTCCGGGATTGGACACTTGCTGAGGGAATCGCTGATCCCGCCTGCACCAATCCAACTAAAGGCAATGGCCATTTGCTGGGTCAAGTTTAATAAATATATAAATGAATGAATAAATATGTATATATGTGTCTATGTGTGTATTTTAACCTATGTATATGTGCAAACATATATACATACATATATATACACAAGCATATATATTTATATATAATTATTTATAGTTTATACATATATATATACATATATATGCAAATCTGTACTGGCCAGTATCTTTTCCCAGTCTTTCCTTCCTCTTTTGTTGTTCCTTTTGGGGTTGTGGGCTGCTGGCTGGCTAAGGAATTATTTTGTTTGCTTGCTTTGTTTCAGAAACAAGGTCACACTATGAAGACCAAGTTGGACTGGTGCTTTGGAACCTGGTGATTCTGCCGCCTTAGGCTGAGCACAGGTGTGGACCATCAATACTGAGCTCCTACGCCTGTGATTAGGGTGTGTTTTGATCTGAGCTTGTTGCTTCTGTTATGGTAGGAAGCAGGTTGGGTAGATGGGAGAGAGTGCCTTGATCTCCTCCATCACCTGATGTGTGTTGGCAATTCCCAGGTTGGATAATTGTTTAGGGAATTGCTGCTCACGCTTGAACTAATCTAACTGAAGCCAGTGGCTATTGGTCTTCTAGAGATAAGTGTATATATAAGTATATTTTCAATTGTGTATATATGTATGCATATATACATATATGTTCATATACATATGCAGAAACCTATAAAATATACATATATTGCATGTATATATATATATATATATATATATGTGTGTTTGTGTGTGTGTGTGTGTGTACAGGTAAATGTCTTTTCCCAGCTTTTCCTTCCTCTTTCTTGGTTCTTTGTAGGGTTGTGAGACTTCTGGCTTGGTGGGAACCATTTTATTTGCTTGCTGGGTTTCAGTGACAGGGTCCCCCTGGGAAGACCAGGTTAAACTTGAGCTTTGGAACCAGGTGAGTTGGCCTCCTGTAGACTGGTCCCACAGGTGTGGAACATCAACACTGATCTCCTAACCTTCCCTGCTGTTAGAGTGTGTTCTGATCTTAGCTTCTTCTTTGTTGTTTAGTAGGAAGCAGGTTGGGTAGATGGGAGAGAGTTCCTCAATGTCTTTCATCACCTGATGTTAGTTTTCATTTCTCAGGTTAGATAATTGTTTAGAGAACTGCTGATCATTTCTGCACCAATCCAACTGAAGCCAGTGGCCATTTGTCTTGTCCAGATATATATATATATATATATATATATATATATATATATATATATATGGGTATCTATCTATTTATCTATATCCCAAACTTGAAATATGTTATCAAACAACTACATTTAGTAGGAAAACTTTAGGATCACATTTTTAACTCTCTTGCTCTGAAATTACTCATTCTCCATCCTCCACATTTCTTTTGTTAGAAAATTTCTTTGAAAATAATAATTTCCCATAGTTTATTTGTTCAAAATCCTTACTAACAAGAGAAATCATATTCCAAATTAACCACTTCTTCTATTTCATTGTCTCTATTCCTCTCTTTTCTAGTCTCTTTTCTGGAGTATTTTCTTTCTTTTTTTTTGGGCGGGGGGTAATTCCTCATGTTGTTTCTTTCTTTTTTTTTAATTGTGAAAATACCATACACAGGGGTTACAATTACATGGGCAAGGTAATGAGTACATTTCTTATCAAGCATTGTTGCCTCCTCCTGGGAGTATTTACTTGAAGTTACATATATGGGCCACCATACTTGGCTTTCTGTAAGAATTCTTATGTTTGCTGAAGAATGTAGTCAACATTATCAACAATTTAAGATCTAGAGTTCTCTCTGTCCTCAGAGTTTGAACATTGGTCTTACTATTCATCCAAACCTGGTGTATTCCTTAGATTAATGTTTCAATGTTTATAGGATTCTTCACAGATTCTAAAGGATGTCTAAAGGACAAAATCCTAACATGCTCTATCTCAACTTTTCTTCCAATAACTATGAACTCATCATGTTACATACACAAAAATTCTTCAAACCTTCTTACTGACAAGGACAAGTTGATTGCAACCAGAAGGTAAATAAGAGGATTTCAAGTAGCCCGTGGGAACACACCACTTAAGGGAATGGAGAAGGAATGCTGTCCTCCCATGCTTTCCCATCCAAAGGGTGCCAATCTCAATCTAGACAGAAAATGAATACTTTCCTGCAGTCAGAACAGAAAAGATTCACTCTCTGGCACACCTTTCAGCTGCATAACACAAAGCTAATTTAAATATGTACCAAAAAGTCTGAGGGATTTCTGTATTTATCAGAACCCTTATTCTTTGTTGTCACACATAAGTTTAGTGTTTACTATAGGTCATCTTTACCAGTAAATGATAGCCAAAACATCATTTCATAATAAATTAGAACGCTATTTAAATATTTATTGATTATACACTATAGACAAATGAGAATCTTGGATATAGATATATTATTTACTAACAAATAATAAAATGAATATCAGTTACTGACTACCTGGCCTAAGAAATAACATTTTCAGTAACATTGCAGTCTGGATTTCTCCCTTTAAGAAAGCTTGTTCAGAATAATAATATTAGCATCTTCTTTGTTTTTTCTTTAGGGTGACATAAATACAAATAATGCATCTTCTAAGTTTGTAAAAATGGGATTATACTTCCTAGGTTTTTCAGTGATTTATTGAACATCAACATTATGTTTCTCAACATTATGTTTCTTATCCTTTGTCTGCTATTCAGAACCTTCACCCTTTTGATCCCTTTGCTGATGCAAGTAAGGGTGATGACCTGCTTCCTGCTCTCTCCCAGGATTATATCTGTGTTTTTTCTTTCTTACTATTGTTTGTAATGTATTTATAAAGTACCACGAGTTTTTTTTTTTTTTTGCTTTGTATGACCCTTCTCCATGGTATAACCCCTGTTTTCAGTGTATTTGATGTTGTTATAATTTGGGAAGCAGAAGGGAAAAAAAACCAAATTGTTTAAGTAGGGATACAGGTGGACCATTGCACAATGAGATGTACAAGACGCTATTGGGGGGAGGAGCATAGTTGTGGAGATTGGAGGGAAGGGATGGAAGGGGAAAATAGAGGAGGAGGCAACAATGCTTGATAAGAAATGTACTCATTACCTTGCTCATGTAATTGTAACCCCTTTGTACAGTATTTTCACAATAAAAACTTATTTAAAAAAAGAAAAATAAAAAATTCAATAGAGAAATGGCAGGAAGACCCTTACTACTGTCCAAAGGATCGCTGATGATTATGATAAAAAGAAACTTGTGAAGGTGTTTAAGAAGAAATTTGCCTGCAATGGTACTGTAATTAAACATCCAGAATATGGAGAAGTAATTCAGCTACAGGGTGACCAGCACAAGAACATATGCCAGTTCCTGGTAGAGCTTGGACAGTCTAAGGACGATCAGTTGAAGGTTCATGGGTTTTAAGTGGTTATGGCTCACTAAAGCTTAAGTGAGGATTTCCTTGCAATGAGTAGAATTTCCTCATTTCCCTTGTCACAAGTTTAAAAACCTCACAGCTTGCATAATGTAATCATTTGGGGTCCGCTTTTAACTTGGACTAATATAACTCCTTCATGCAATAATCTGAAAACAGCCATCCTTTCTAGTCTTGAAGTCCCTTATTTAAACTGACGTCAAGCAGCAGGTACCTGGCAGTGTCCAGCGTGCAACAAAGCAATAATGTGAAGTTTCAGTTAAGCCCATAGCCCCAGGATCACAGGGTGGCTATGTCTGGCCAGAAGCTCCCTCTGCAGTTTCCCCTGCCCTAAGTGAATGCTGCCATTTGAACTACCCATGGGAGTCCAGAGAGAATGGGTAAGTCATCAAGCAACAGCAGCTGTGCCACTAGGGGGAGCCTTGAGCTGGCCACACATGGTCTAAGTAGCGGGTCCAAAAAAGAAGGATATGAGACCAGCCTAATAACAATTAAACTTTTGACAAGGGAACAAACATCATAGTCATCTGTCATGTAGTAGCTGTAGAGTTTGCAACTTAAGTAACAGCTACTCAGTGCCATGTGAAGTAACGGACTGGTTTTTGGTTTACTTCTCCCAGTTTTAATGTGATATCATTTACTTATATTTAAATGAAAAAGAATCAATCTTTTTCCCATTATCAGAGAGGCACCTGTATAGAGGCAAATTTGCCACATGGTGTCCTTAAGTCTCTATTTGGTCACTGAGATCTGACACCCTGCAGTTGGCCCAGCCCCTGCTGATTTGCATATTCCCCAGAGCACAGCCCAAGGACTTGATAAGCTGCTTACACACTGTGCAGTAGAATGTTCCAGTCAGCACACAGCATGAACATGAGGAACCCTGCTCAACTCCTGGGGCTTCTGATGCTCTGGCTCCCAGGTAAGGATGGACAATGCTAAGGATTAGTTGGCTCTTCTTGGAAAGCATAATTTACTAAGTGGCTAATGGATTTTATGTTTCCATTTTCAGGTGCCAAATGTGATGTTCAGTTGACCCAGTTGCCATCCATGTCTGCATCTCTTGGAGAGAGAGTCTCCATGACTTGCAGGGCCAGTCAGGGCATTGGGAATTATTTACATTGGTACCAGCAGAAACCAGGAAATGCCCCTAAGCTCCTGATTTATTTTGCAACTAATTTGAAATCTGGGACTCCTTCCAAATTCAGTAGCAGTGGATGAAATGTCTCCTTTTTGTTGCTCTATTCATATATTACCATACATTACATTATATAATACTACAATATGGGTACTATTAGTGCTGTGTTCCTCAGATATTTCAATAAATAAACTAAAATGTATTATATTTGTTAATATATCTTGTAAATGTTTTCTCATTCCTGCCAAGGTGTTTCTATAAAGATCCATAGTTAATCAACTGGTTTTTAACAAAAATAGAGTACAGTGAACCACCCCAAAACTTTGTTTTTGGTCGTTCTTTAGGATTGAACTCTGGGTCTGGGTGTTGTCCCTCAGATCTTCAGCTCAAGGCTAGTGCTCTACACTTGAGCCATGGTGCCATATCCAGTTTTTTGGTGGTTTATTGGATATAAGAATCTCACAGACTTTCCTGCCATGGCTGGCTTTGAATCATGATCCTCAGATTTCAGCTCTCTTAGTAGCTAAAATTACAGATATGAGCCACCGGCACCCAGGCACCCTAAACCTTTTTGGCATACAATCCCAAGCACTTATATTCATCAGCTATTCATGCATTTTTGTTGGTCTTAGGGCTTGAACTCAGGGCCTGAACACTGCCCCTGAGCTATTTTGTTCAAGGCTAGGTCTCTACCACTTTGCATCACAGTTTCTCTTCTGGTATTCCAGTGATTATAGCTGGAGATAGAGTCTCATGGACTTTCCTGCCCAAGTTGGTTTTGAACTGAGAGCCTCAGATCTCAGGTTCCTGAGTAGCTAGGATTTTAAATGAATAGTGGGGAGCAGGTGTCTCACAGTGTTGCCCAGTTAAAAGGTGGCATATTCATAAATATATGGGTATGTTTCTCTATGGATCATAGATTTTAAAAACATGCACAAATATTTATTACTACACATATATATATATATGTATAAATATTCAGAGAAAAATACATCATGTGCAGATACACATTCACATACACACACACACACACACACACACACACACACACACACACACACACACACACACACACATTATGAGGGATCTGATGAAAGGTAGTCTAGTTTTTCCAGAGCCTTTTATAGAGAAAGAGATGTAAAAATGCAGAACATGGAGACTTTTGAGTAAACATATATTCACTGCTAAATACTTTTTCTACACTTATCATTTTCATGAAAGTTTTAAGAAAACAGAAGTAATTTTGATGACTTCTCAGGTGGTTCTTCTGCATTGTCACATTGGTTGGATTACTTGTAGGTTAAGTACACTTCTGCACCTGTCTGTGAAAGCTTCTCTAGAGACAATTGACTAAGAGAGAAAGTTGAACACCATTGTCCACAGCCTCTTCCAATAGGCTGGTGTCTCTTCTGCAAGAAAAGGGGTGGGAGGAGGAAGTAGAATATCCACTCTTATTTTTGGGGGTCATGATGTGAACTCCACTACACTGTGCTTACATGGCAGACTACAATTTCTAATGCAAGATTGAAGTAAAGAATTCTGTCCTTCAAGTTGCTTTCAGTAAGATCTTAGTCACAGCAATGGAAAGTTAACCTATCTTTATAACATGTTCTATCTTACTTTGACAATGATAGAAGATGGATGCTGAACTGAGAGCATTTGGAACCACTATTACTTAGTTGAAAGGGACAGCTCTTATTTGTAGTGGAAACTTTGGTAACTTGTCAGGCAACAATATGTTGAGGTAGATTTTTTAAGAGACTGTTTAAATGGGCAAAAATAACTATTAGTAAAGAAAAATAATTAAGCAGAAGGTGTAGAAAAACTTCTTGCATTGATAGATTTAACCTCCGGAGGGTGAGATGTGGATATAAAGCGCACAGGACAGCTGCAGGACAGCAGATGGGTTGTGAACACTGGTGTCTGGGTACAGTATTTCTAGAGCAGGATGAGAGGGGCAGTTCTTCTCTGCAGGAAGTAAGTGAGTATAGAGCCTGTGACAGCTGGGGTTCCCCCTACAGCTCCACTCTTAGCGTGGTTTCCAGAACCTTTGATTTAAGAATTCAGTAGTTTGTGTCAAAAACATACCTCATAAGTCCATTGGAGCTGAAGGCACTTGACATCTATAACTAAACACAGTGAACAACCCACATGAAGAGCAACAGGGTCTTTTTTGTCAAATTATCATACTTCCCCAGCACACTGACTTCAGGAAGCCAACACAAGCAACCCTGTAAGACATCATGACTAAAGTCAGACAAGCCCAGGGGAGCCACTGGTGCTCCTCACATGCATCTGTTTTGCAACAAAAAGAGTTAGATTTTCCTTAATCACTTCAGCTCTCCACATGCAGTTAGTGATTCATATTGGTAGAATCCCAGGGGTGACTTGAAGAAATTCTGGGATCTCTGTGCAGCTTTTATCTCTCATTTTTCTGTCTTCAACTTTGTGGACTTCCTAGGTCTCTTCTTCAACTTCCTACTGGCAAATCACAGACATACTCTCTTTCTCTCTGTCTCTTTCTCTCACACACACACACTTACACATACTACTGAAAAACGTGGAATTTTATCTCACTAACATTTCTCAGGTTAAACAAAGCAATATTAATTCAGTTTGAAGCCATAGCTCTCTATAATGTAATACCCGGGACTAAAACTTTGAGTATAGAATCACTGAGGAAGAAGAGGACAACCTAAAATACAGACAGAAGGTACAGACTCCAATAGGAATAGAATATTCTTAATAAACTGTTAACAAACCAAATACGAAAAATAATGAAAGCTGCTGCCATGATGCCAGATATATATTGCCTAAAACATCTTCATTTTCCTAGTTATTACTACCAGAGAAAATAAGATAGGTTAGAATTATGTAACTCCTGATGTGGAATACTGACAGTATTCTTTCTGTATTACTTTTCTCAAAAAAATATGCAATCTAATCCAGATACTACTGAAATCTAAGGATGAGAGGATAAGATCTGAGATCAGAGTACAAATACTTGGGAAGGAAAAACTATGAGACCCTGTCTCTGATTTACCAGCAAAAAATGTTTAAGTGGAGTTATCAAGAGGTAGAGCAACAGCCTAGAGCAAAAGAGCTTAGGGCAGCACCTAGACTTTGACATCCAGTACTTCCATAAACACAGGAACACACACACACACACACACACACACACACACACACAAACCCCAATCAAGCAATCTGAATTTAATCTATAGAAAAGGATAAAAAGACATTTAAAATGTAATAATTAATTTTTCCTTTAAAAATCCTGGTTTCATAAGATATAATATTGAAAAAATACCACTAGATAGTAGAGAAAGCCCACAATAAACAAAAATGCTGTTTAGCAATCATAAGGAAGCCATAGAATTAGTGTTCTATCATCAATGAAGAGGCTCTGAGCTTGGGCATTTGACTATGATAAGGGACACTCAGGAGGAGCTGCCAGCAGGCTCATTTGGGGAAAAAGTCTTCTGTTTTTGGTATTTGGAGATTGGAAGCTGGGCCTGCCTCTATTTCCTGCTTTCTTTCTCAGCACAGGCCATCTTTTAAGGATTGATTCATGTTACCCAGAGATATGTGTCCTTGGAAAAGAGGCCTTTAAGAAGTGTGTGAGGTCATGTGAGGTCAATGGAGCTGTAGCAAAACCCATAGTACTAATACCATTAGGAGATGAGGCATTGGGTTGCTCTGTCTCTGTCTCTGTGTCTGTGTCTGTCTCTGTCTCTGTCTCTGTCTCTGTGTCTGTTAAAGGTATCAAGGCCTCAGGATGTTGCAAGAAGTTGAACAGTTAGAAAGACCAAATAAAATGATAGCTCCTGACTTTGCAACCTTCAGAATTTTGTTTTTAAAAAATATGCTGATTTATCTGTCCAGACTAAGATATTTATGTTCTTCATGGCAATGCAGGCAGAGTAAGGCACCAAACAAGCTCTCTCTGAATAGGATCAGCCTCCCTCAGGAGTTGACTTCTGGACATGGAGTCACAGCCTTGCTTCTCTTCTTCTCTCTGCTCTGACCTTGGGGAGGAAGCAGGACAGAGGCTTCATCCTGAGGATGCTTGCATACAACGAGAACATTTCCTTGGAAATGAAAGTGTGAGCCTGCTTCGTTTTCTGATCAGAATCAGAAAAAATGACTCTATGCAGTGTTTCATTGGTTTTGTTTGTAGATGCATATGAATTTTTTTTCTTCTGCTCAGATACCAGTGAACACCTTATATGGACATGGTCTCAAGACTCCTTCCTATGTCCTAGCAAGAATATAAAGAGCATCCCAGACAGGAATCAGCAGAAACCAAGCCTGAATCCTGAACTCCTGCTCATTCCCTGCCTGGTCATCAAGTGTACCAGAGTTAGGATGGGGTCTGGACATAGTTCACTCTAGCCATCAGCAGGCCCATATCCTTTGAGGCACATGAACTTCCTCCTGTCACCACTAGAAGGGGAAATCTCACAGTAGCTGCTGCCCTGCAAGGGGCAGCTAGAGCCTGGGAACTTCTTTAAGAACAGGTGTTGGAGTGGAGTGTTTGCTGAGGGATCAGGGTTCTGCTCTGAAATAACATCAAGACCCCCTCCCACATCCTTCTGTTTCTCATACAGGACACCTCCATGATTCTGCTCTGCATTTCTGAATGAGGACTTCTCAGTTTCCTCACCCCACTTGCCTCTTACACTATGCTCAAAAGCCAATTCTTCCCTACTTCTCACGTAGCTATTCTTGAGTTGAGCTTCAGTTCTTTCTCCAGATCTTGGACTCTGGCTTACTTGTGTCTCTACTGTACTCTAAGAATCTTCCTTGTTTAATTGTGGTTATTGACAAACTTCAAAGGAAGTGCTTTATAAATAGAGGATTACATATGGGGAAGTTGTAGCCTTTTAGGAATAGATTCCCAGCTGAGCAGAGAAACCCTCATTGCTCCCAGTCAGAGAGGAGGCTGACAGTGGTCTGTGCAGTTCTTTGTTCTGTGTCCACATAGATCCTACCAAGGTATACGCCCTGAGTGATGGGAAATCCAAGGGAAGCAAATTCATTGTAAATTCCTCAACCACAGCTTCTCTGCACATGGAGCCTTTATATCCTGAGGTTCCCAGA